GTGGCAGTGGAAGGTGTCAAAGCAGTTTGGAGAGAAAAACAAAGTAAAGAACAAAGAAAACGACTAATCGACCATTAAATTAGTCATTGACTATTTTAATAATCGATTAGTCATCGACTAATCTTGGCAGCCAAATTCTGAAGTGATGTCATCGAGCAATCAAGCCCTAAAAAGTGGGATCCTCATGTAAAAAAAAACTTGCGTTGTTCAAAGTGGGATGTCCGAATAAACAGGAATCCAACTGGATTTCTTCTTAAAACTTTATTTTCAATCTTCTGACTCCTATCAGGTTCACAGTGCAGCACTCTGCAGGCCTCAGCGTAAGACCTTGACATAAAAACCCAAATAAAACAGAGGAGCCCTGCTCTGAAGCAGAGACTCTGCAACACACTGACAACTTCTTTTTACTRTAATAATGAATTGACCGTATAATGTTCATCTCTTCCAGGTTACATCCCTGGAGGTGTTACCTTTTACGTCAGACGTCAGAACGTAACTCATTTTGTTTAGACTAAAGAAAGAACACGTGATAAGACACACACCAGCTCTTATTCTGTTATGGCCTTATGGCTGCAMTGATCAGAAAGTATAAAATACAAAACTGCATCTRACATTCAATTAATCAGTTACAAAATTTTCCTTCACTCAAGCTTCACAAAAACTTCCAACTTTATATGAAGGTATTTCCCAGCACTGGCAGAGAAACACTGAAAGGATTATCTCTGAAAACCTGCCAAAAATCTTTGATTAAAAGGTAGATTAGGAAGATTATATGCYGTTTTATTTACTTAAATGTAGCAAGCATGTAGCTAAAATGCTAACTAGCTTCCTTGCTAACGTAAATTTGATACACAGTCAATTTGTTCCCATCTTATGTTCTCCACTTGTCTATTGTTGCCTCTTTTTCTTGTTATTGGCATCCCGATGACGTTCAAGAATTGGACGGAAAAGGAACAAAAAAGTCCAAAAAAATCTTTGAAAACCATCGAAAAACCCAAATAACATCTCATCAACAACACTCTCCTTCTTAGAGGCACAATATAAAGAATTAGGGATGGTTTTAAAAACTTTGCACAGTTCTTTTAACAATTTGACGTCCTCTTTAAATGTTTTTTTACGTTGTAAAGCTGTCCGTTAGCTTCAATATTTAACGTCACCTTTTGTCAACACCCCCCCCCCACACACACACACACACACACACATTTTTATTTTAAACATATTCATGTTACACATCACATTGACAAGCCTCACTTTTCAATAGCTCAACACACACACAATGATAGAAAGAAGTGGTGCTGCTTTAGTTCATAGGATGCAGATATGGGCTGACAGCCATCGATTTTAATGAGATTAAAAACGATTTGCACACAAAAGCCCGCAAGTGGCCTTTTGTAGCTGTGTGGTCCGTTTCCCCCCACCCCCCGTCAATGTAAGCCATTACATTAGAGGAGTTTCATAAGAAAAGAGAAACAGAGATGGAAGAGGGAAGAAAGGAGGGTAAAAACAGACCGCTGCAGCCCCTTGGCCGCTCTGTGTGCTCTTTGTTCAGCAAGGTAGGAAAAATTTAATCCCCCGTTTCCTGTCCGATGATTTTTGGCAGAGTTAAGGAGAAGAGGAGGAGGAGGAGGGAGTGCTGCGTGTTGGCAGGTCGGACGAAGGAAAAAAAACTGTTAGAGAGGATTAGCCTTGAAGTTTTTTTTCTTGAAACGCTTTGCGCTCAGGAACCCAGAACTTGAGCGTTGTTTGCTTTTTGTTTTGAATACATCTTCTCTGCAGTTTTCTTTTTTCCCCCCTTTCCTTTCACTCTTTATTGAGGGGCTCGGCGTTCTCGGGGCCAACGCGKTGAATCGAATTTGCACTTTCATTGTTTTAGGTTTAAGGAGTGTGACTGGTGATTTGTATAAAATGCAGACTGGGGTTGATGAGTTGCTTTCATGAGCGCAGACAGTGTTGTCTAATAGATTCTGTCCGTTTCACCTCCGCAAAGGCAGCAACATTGAACTCCATTCACCCCATCTTCCTCCTCTCCATCCTCCTTTCCTTTCTTTCTTTTTTTTTAAAATTTTCATCTTTTAGGGTTTTTAGCCGCTGCGGCCACGTTTTTAAAGTTCACTTTCTTGATGAGAAGTTCACAGCACAGGTATTCACAGTGAGGGTGACGTGAGAAGCGCGTTAGATGAGTGCACACTGGGGGTCTTTGAGGAAGAAAAGGAGAGCGAGGAGGTGGTGGTGGGGGGGCTAATTATCTGACATGTACGTAGTGCAGCACCCCTCGGGAACAACATGCTGCTTGTTCCCCGCTCRCGTTTTCAGTTTGCACCGTTGCTCCACAGGAACAATCACGGTGTTGTTTTGCCATTAGCGTGAGATGAATAGGGATGGGACAGCTTTGTGTGGGGGGACCCCCTCTTTTTTTTTATTAAACCCCCCAAACCCAGTCTGTTTACAGGCCTCCGTCACGACTCTCTTATATGATGTGGAATCACCTCAGCTTAGATAAAACCTGCTTTTCTTTGTCATWTTTTTCTAAACTACACAAATAAATCCTTTAAGGCAGTGGTTCCCAAACTTTTCAGCCTTTGACCCTCAAAATACCAGCAGCAGAGACCTGAGCCCCCAAATGTTGTTGGATCATAAACATTGTTTTCATGTYAAAAAAGTAAGAGCATAGCAACAATATTCATTATGCAATKTTTGTCAATTCTGGGTACATTAACCTTACACTTTTATAACATCAATGCAAACAAAAATGTTGTTAGTTGTTTTATTTTCTAATATAATTAATTCAGAAAATCTTCCAGGACCCCACCTTGATGTTTTGGGACCCCATTGTGGGTCCCGACCCCGACTTTGGGAACCACTGCTTTAAGGAACAGCTCGAACCTTTAGAAATGGGGTTCTGTGGCAAGTTTGAGCGGTTAACATCTTACCTGCGGTAGATAGTTCAGAATGAGCTCAATTTGAAGAGGTAGAGCTTAATTTTAACCATGTTTGATGAGCCAAGACTAAATTTCACAACTATTTTCTCAAATCGTCAGTTTTGCAATAAATGGTTGTCCATTAAATTTGATGTCAGGACGTGGGGTTTTAAACCCCGCCTACTTATCTGCACTTTTGTGGTATCACCTAACCTTTACTCTAAGAYTAAAATAATTAAATACTTCTAAAAGCCATGGAAAACTTTAAGTAAGGGAAGAACTACAGTGAATGCCTACAAAGTCGCATTTCAGTTTGCAAAATGTAACGACTATAATCACCRTAATTTTGCGGAAATCGTAAATACAGTAAATAGAGTACAGTGAGGACTGTAATTTTTTATCTATTGTGCTTTTTTGTGACTTTAAGTTAAGAACAACAATATTTACCAATCTTGTAACATAAATATTAATGTAAATTCAGTTCCATATGAAAAAATACAGTACAGTACTGTACCCTGTGCTAACATTCCACCCGGGATGCAACATTTTGTCCTTCTAACAGTTTACCGTACAGCACTGAGTGGCGTGTAGCTGCTGTTTAGCTCGAGTGTAATGTCTTTTAGTTCTTACTGCATTAYGATGCCACCTAAACGAGCTGTAGGCCKTGTTTGGACCTTTAGCTCATTAGTTTTATTTATACAAATTACTTAAAGAGCTACATACAACAGTTTTTAAAAACCTTTTTTCAAACTATCCGAATTGTCCGGTTGAACCCCGAGTTCTTTCATCAAAGAATGTTATGATAACGTTAAAAGGATCCCCGATTAGTTGTTACATTAGACTTTATTTAATAAACATATTTTAACTATAAAATAAAGACTGTAACAATACTGTAGGATGTTTAGTTTTTATAATTTTTAAACTAAAAATTTAAAAATATATTACACGTATGGAGCCATTTTATTAACATGCAAAGCATTCTCGGTAAATGATGACATGGGTAGGTCATCATCGGTGCGAGGCTGCTAGCGAGCTATATCCACCCTGAAGGTTAATCTTGGACAATTTCTGATGATCGACTCTTTTAAATGAAACCAGAGAGCGTTGACAGAGAGGAGAAGGTAGAAATGACTCAGCCTGGAACTGAAAATATGGATGGAGGACAACAGAGCTGCTTCATGGAAGAAGAACCTCAGTTTAGCTTGTTTGTCTCACTAGCACTGAGCTAATACATATAAGGCAAAATAGCATCGTTGCTAGCACAAAGGCTAACAGGCTAAGCTGAGGTTCTCCTTCCATGAAGCAGTTCTGTTGTCCTCCATCCATATTTTCAGTTCCAGGCTGAGTCATTTCTACCTTCTCCTCTCTGTCAACGCTCTCTGGTTTCATTTAAAAGAGTCGATCATCAGATATTGTCCAAGATTAACCTTCAGGGTGGATATAGCTCGCTAGCAGCCTCGCACCGATGACTTAGTTGATGTCATCATTTACCCAGAATGCTTTGTGTGTAAATAAAATGTCTCTGTCCATGTTAAAATATATTTTTAAAAATGTACAAAACTGAACATCCTACAGTATTTTTACAGTCTTTATTTTACAGTTAAAATAAATGTTTATCAAATACAGTCTAATGTTACAACTAATCGGGGATCCTTTAAGCTGCAGAAAGAAGTTACCTGCACATAATTAACCGTTTTTGTCGCTTTGTGTTTATGTTTTTCAGTCCTGGTACCTGGGCGAGCTTAGTTCCATTCCAAGTGTCGAACGGGACTCCGATTCTGCCAACAAATGTCCACCAGAACTACAGCATAAACATCATTGGTGAGCCGCTGGTCCCCGCCGAGACCGGGAACTGAGCCCGCAGAGAGAGACCGGACAACCCCCCCGCGCGCCCCCACCCTCACCCACCTCCCTGCCCTACCTCTCGGGGGTGGAAGGTGTGGTGCAGAGCTAGCACTTACAGGTGTCCCGCAGCCATGGACGAAACCAGCAAAAGCAGCAAGTGCTGCAAAAAAAAAAAGGAAAAAAAAAACTGCCCCCCATCTCCCCTTCCTTTATTCCCAGTCTCACCTCTTCCACGCTCCCCCCTCCCCCACTCCTCCTCCTCCTCCTCCCTCCTGATGATGATGATGGACGCTGGCCCTGAGGTGAAGATGAGGGATTGCTCAGAGGAAAGAAGCTTCAGGTTCTGCTGTCTCCTTGCAATCACCCACCAGTCAGTTTCAGAACTTTTCCAATCCATCTAAAATACTGTGATGTATACATGCCTTAATGTTTTATTGCATGACACTCTAGACTCTTAGCATTACTATTTTTTCCATGTTGGAGGAAGATGTATAATCTACATTTAAACACACACACACACACACACAGAAACGAGGGGGTTCTGCAGGTCCACGCCTGCCTGGAGGACGGCTCAGAGACTCGGCGATCTCTTGAAAAGAGGCTTGTTCTCCCTCACGGAACGATTTCACTGTGTACACCGTAGGAACAACAAAAACAAAACTTGTGAATTCAGAGTGTTTCTTCTTCCGTTTGATTTCAGTTTACTGTGATACGGCTTTTACCTTTTTAATTTCTTGTCTATTCTTTACTGCTACCTATGTCAAGAATTAACACGCAACGGCAAGAGTTGAGAACTCTTGATGCAGTTTTCAAAAAACACTAAAACACTAGTCTTGAGATTGGACCCCTCCTGAAAAAGAACAAACGAAAAAGAAAAGTCCTTTCCAAAAGGAATGAAATGTTAAAAGAGGAAGAAATAAATTGCGACAGAGGCAAGTGCAATTGAATTTTATTTTGAAGGGAAGCTATCAGTCTGACTGCCCTGAGACTCTAAAGGAAGGGGGATAATTATGAAATGTTTAAGAAAAACATTTGAATTTGATTTCGGTCACATATCCATCTCTTTGCATGAGAAAAAGGCAGTTGAAGGCGAGCATAAATCTACCTGTGCAGAGCTGAGCAAAAACCAGCACTTAATTTGAGCCTTTCCCATCAATACGGGGAGATTTTTATTTTTATTATTTTGGTATTTGTGTGTGTGTGTGTGTGTGTGCGTGTGTGCGCGTTCGTGTGTGCAAGTGTGTGTGTATTATCAACCTGAAAAATGTCGAGAAATATTGTTGCATTTGGCTATCAGCTTGTAAAGCTAATCTTTGCAAAAAGAAAAAAAAAAACAATGAAGGGACAATTCAGATTTTATTTTGAAGTAGAGTTCCTGTGGTTCTTTAAATGACTTCAGTTTGGTGAAATTGTTTAGTTTTGACTTAAAGGACAAGCTAACGGACAAAATGGATTGCTGCCATCTTAGAACAACTCTAATTGTTCCCAACGTTTCACTCCGAACAGCTCCGGTTAAAGTGTCCAAACWTTGATAATAAATCAGTAAATTATGGAGATGACAATACAAACCTTTTTTTAACGTCCTGATGCATCTCAGTAATCCAGGTAAAAAATCTAAAAGAAAAAAATTGTATAGGTCCTCTGGACGGGTTCTTCTYTAATGAAACGTTTCGTCTCTCCTCCAAGAGACTTCTTCAGTCTGAGAGTTTCAGGCAAAATTCAGGCTTTTAAGCCCTGCCTCCATGTGACTGATACTCACATCACATGGCTATCGTTGACACCTAATTAACACCTATTGTTAACAGGGGGTGGAGTGATACTGCCAATGGCAGCGCTGTAGGAGGGGGACAACTGAAAACGGAGGCCTCCACCTCTGTTTAATGATGGACGGTCTTTCTTCACAAAAATGGCTTCTTTTACTCCTCTCTCAAACCAACGTTTCTCTCTATCAATGAGAACATCCTCATCTCTGAAAGAGTGACCGCTGGCCTGTAAATGAGTGAAAACTGCAGAGTTCTGGCCATTAGAATTAGCTCGTCTGTGTTGGGACATTCTTTTGAACAGTGGTTGCTTTGTTTCCCCGATGTATAACTGGTCGCAGTCCTCCTGGCACTTAACAGCATATACAACATTGCTCTGTTTGTGCCGGGGCACCGGATCTTTGGGGTGAACCAGCCTTTGCCGTAATGTGTTTTGGGGTTTGAAAGCYACTGGGACATCATGTTTAGAAAATAAACATCTCAGTTTCTCCGAAACACCCGCAACATATGGAATAACCACTGGTTTGGGTCTGGGTTTGGGGTCTTCATTTTCACCTGAAGGTTGCATGGATTATGCTTTTAGCAATCAATTCTAAATTTTATTTGATTTCTTGAAATCATTTAAAAACCATCGATTGGTGTTTTATACCCCACAGTGAGTTCCTGACTCCAGTTTTGGGAACCCCACTACATTATATTACACTGCTTAGTTTAACACAACATTGTTATTCTAGCAGATACATATAATTAGTATTACTGTAAAGCAGGGAGGTGGAGGGGTAATGATTTGAGCCTGTTTGCAGGGCTTAAAGTTCTCCACAATGGATTTTCGTCAACCGTAAAAATGGCCTCTTTTGGTTGTTGCACTTTCGGTGCATTACTTTCAGAATTTCGTAACGTTTCTGCCAAAATAACTATATTTTAAAACAACTAGTGGCGTTAACAATCCGCATATGGTTCGTTCTTTGGTTTCTTCGTTTCAAAACAAAAAAAAAATCATGTTTTTATTTTACCAAACTAATTAAAAATCTACAGTAATTAATTTTTTGCTTCARCTACCCAAATCCAAATTTAAAAATGCGGTTGTTTTGGTATGTAGCGATGCAAGAAGGAAAGTTTATTTACTGCCTAAAATATTGGCAATAGCTACACTATCTATTCTGCATAATTTGGAATATTAAAGTAATTTTATTCATTGTAAGATCATCAACACCCTACATAACAAGACAAACATATCTATGGTGAGAAATRAAAATTCATCTGGTTCCTCAAGAAGGTCCCAAATGGTGCACTAAAAAAATATAAAGCTTGTTTTTGCTTTAAYTATCAAAATTACAGTAGGTAAGAAAAGAACGTAGGCTTTTTTGATTTTTGCGATTGGCGTTTTTCTAATTTAGTTTTTAAACAAACACTAAACAAAACARTTATTTGTTTGTACACAGATTACTAAAGCTTTATAAAATATTGTTTTCATCACCCGCAAAGACGTTTCTGCAATTTACAGATGGCAGCATCCATTTTACAAGCTGTTATTTTGTTAATTTGCATAGGGTTTTAATCTATTTCACTAACCTGAGGTCGTTCAATCAGGCTATCTCAAACAGGTAAGATACTTCAAAGGATCTAAATGATCTCTTTTAGGAAATAATATGGGATTCTGAGTGTAAATTCTTCATGCAAATGTACTGTAATCATATACAGCTTGTGCAAGGTTAAGTCTAAAGCGGAAGAGGCTGAAAAAGTGATAAATCCAGGTGGTGGCATATCCCTGAAATCAAGAATTCTGCATGGCAATCTCCCAGCTGTTGCCTCTCCAGTCAAGACGCAAACTTATATCTATATATATATACGAGGAAAATCTCTCCGATACTCTTTAATTTGCACGATGACATATAGTCCACATTACGTGCCTTGCCTTTGAATATAGAGACATCACTACACTTGTTTTTTGCTGCATTTATCATTATAGAGAAAAAAAACTTAACATTTTTATGATAAGAATTGTTTTGTACTCTGAATGAAATTGTTGATTTTTACCTTCATGTACTACACTATCTCACAGTTAGGTTGCATATCGAGGCTGTGTATAGTTGCCATTTTAAAGTTTGTAATCAACCTGCAGTTTTTTTGTTTTCAGTATTCTGGTGGTTTTTTTCTAATAACCTGTCACCCTTTTTTTGTTTTGTTTTTTGTTTTTTCAGTGCTCATTTTTCCTCATCTTCCAGATACTATTGTGGAGGGTGGAGTTCAGAATTATGAAAATTATGCAATACCAAGTTTTGCCTATGTAGGTAGTGCTTCTAGATGTGTCAATTATTAGAGGCTAGTTTGGAGATAGATGATATGGTAATGCATTTATTTTGTTGATATTGTTGTTCGTCATTGCTGTTGTTGTTGTTGATGTTGTTGTTGTTGTTGTGGGTGTTTTGTTTTGTTTTTTGTTTGTTTTTTTTTTGCTGACCAAAGTGGGGACTGCTTTCTATGCAGCAGTGTGTGACCAGGTCGTTTTGTTTTCACAGGACGTTTACCGGACGACATGTTCCGGTAAATGTATAGAGTATCAAAATTCGGAGGCTGTTTTTTTTTTTTTTTTAAGAAGAAAAATAATAATGCAACTTTGGTCTTTTTATGGCTGCAAAGTCACTGATTGGATTAACGTGACTCATTTTTAACTTTCCACCCGGGGTGCTAGCATTTGACCTACCGAGCTCATATTTTACCGGAGAGATGGCTTGACTTGAGCACGACAATCATTTAAAAAAAAAAAAGATCTTTTTTTTTGTTTGTTTTGTTTTGTTTTGCGTAAAATCTCATCCAGACTCGGATCCCTGAAAACGGTCTCTTACGTAGGAAGCATTGTACTATTCTCGATGTCACCGAATGCAAATTCCCGAGTAGATGCCTTAAAATCACATCAGTGAAAGTGGCCTGTGACCTGCGCAACAATCATACACCGACTAATGCTAGTGAGACCTGTCCAAAATCAGCTCCAGACAGGCTCGGGCAAGCCTTCGGAAAGTATTTTATAAGTACTAGATTTGTATAAATGTAAATACATGCGCACACATGTCAGCTTCGAGATACTTCTTTAGCAGAGCCAGTTAAGTGTTAATTATTATAGTGAAGCTTAAATAGTCAATTAGGAGAAAATTTTAGCACTTAAATAGCACATAGGCAATCATCCTTTCCCATCTGTGCAGCGTTCAGAACTCAAACCAAGGCCGAATCCCATTTCCTAGGACTACTCGTACCCCTACGACTACACTTTGGCTCTAAAATCAGAGTAGTAAAAAAAAAAACATTTCTTACAAAATGGGAAGTTGATACGTCATCAGATTYAAGTGGAATGCACTAAACTAAACACTACTTTTTTCTTGCTTAGACAAAATGTTTCACTGGGAAAAAAAGATTAAACCACTCTTGCTTGTTAAAACTGATCCCAGTCATAAATGGGAATACACTAAACTAGACATGTTTGTTAAAGTATAATATTTTACCAGAGAATTTCAATGCTGTTTGTTTCCCCTTTAATACGCTTGTTAATAATTTACAGTAATACCCAACACACTATATTAGACTAGACTTACAGCAGTTCTTGATATTTTCCTGAAAAAAATAAAATATATTTATCGTATTGTGCTTAGTTGACAGTATTACCAAATATTGGAATACAATAAACTAGACAGTACAATGTATCCTAAGACAAAAAAAAACATTTTTACCAGGAAAATACGAAACTATTTTTTGACTTGTCAGGTTTTGACAATAAACTTCAGAATACAACACTAAATATAAAAATACACTAAAATACACATTACAGTAATTGTTGAAAGAATAAAATTCTTGAGAAATTCAGTGCTATTTTTTGACTTTTAATGTTTCTTTAAGATTGACAGGAGATGCAGATGCTAAACATTAGAATACACTTAAATACAGAGACAATACAGTAGTTCTTGAGACAAAAAATAAATTAACAGAAAAATATTTTTGCTCATTCTTATGCTTGTTAGGAATATTTGACAATATTACTGAACATGGGAGTACTATAAACTTGACTTTATAATATTTTGTGGGACAAAACAAGGTTTTACCAGAGATTCAATGTTATTTTTGCCTTTTCGTGCTTGTTAAGATGAACTGACAATAATGCTAAACAGTGAAATACACTTAACCAGATAT